CAGATGGAATCTTTGTTTCGACGAGAAAGTCAAAGAGTTTGGCTTCTTACGAAACGGGGATGAATCATGCGTATATGTCAAAGCCAATGGGATTAGAGTTAGCTTCATCGTATTGTATGTCGATGACATACTACTCATAGGAAACGATATCCCGACTCTACAAGAATTTAAGTCCTGGCTTGGGAAGTGTTTCGCTATGAAGGACCTCGGAGAGGCTTCCTATATTTTGGGAATAAGGATAGTGAGAAACAGGAGTAAAAGACTAATAAGACTTAGTTAGAACACTTACTTGGACAAGGTACTAAAGTGTTTTAGTATGGAGAATTCCAAGAAGCAGGACTTACCAATCCAAAGTAATACCAAGTTGAGTAAGACTCAAAGTGCGAGTACCGAAGTCGAGATAGCAGAGATGAGCCGAGTACCTTACGCTTCTACAGTTGGCTCGATCATGCATGTTATGACTTGCACTTGCCCTGATGTGGCCTTCATTTTGAGCATGGTCAGCAGATATCAAGGGAACCCTGGAAAAGAACATTGGACCGAAGTCAAGAATACTTTTAAGTACCTTTGGAGCACCAAGGAACGGTTTCTATATCTCGGTCGGAGTGATGTCTTAAAGGTGTGAGGGTATATTGATGCCATATTTCAAACAGATCGGGACAACTATTTTTCTCAATCGGGCTGGGTCTTTACCCTAAATGGAGGAGGAGTGACATGGAAAAGTTCCAAGCAAGAGACTGTAGCTGATTCAACATGCGAATCAAAGTACATAGCGGAAAGCGAAGAGTCAAAGGAGGAAATATGGTTGAAGAACATCATTGAAGACCTTGGATTTGTGCTAGCCATAAAGGAGCCCATGGAAATGTTTTGTGATAATTAAGGAGCGGTTGCCTTGACCAAGGAACCAAGGGGTCATGGTAGATCTAGACATGTTGACAGGAAATATCATTTTATTCGACATCGGGTGGAAGAGGGATTCCTCGTGGTGAAGAGGGTATCTTCAGAGGATTATCCAGCAGATCCCCTTACGAAGGGACTGAGTAGGGTTAAGCACTTGCAGCACGCTAGGACCATATGGCTGAAGGACGATATTAGTTTAGATTAGATAGTTTTTGAAACGTGTAATAGATAAATGTAATTGACATTTGATGATTAAATAAAGGAGTATTATTTATAACTAAAGTTACTATCTTATGTTAATTTTTTACCTATTGTTTCATTTTGCATGTTTTGATTTCCTAAATACTAAGATTGTTCGAACGTTCTACAGTCACTCATACTTTGGGAGTAGGTATGAAAGAAGATTGTCATGAATTAGTTTAGAGATTGTCTAAAGTGTATTAGACATAGCAAAAGTTTGTTGCAACGTTCATGAGTGCTTATGAATAAGATTTGAGCATTGGATTAAACCTATGCTTGCTGGTATCACTTCATGGAATTTATCACGAGTGATCGCAAGACGATAATATCATATAGTCTTGAAACCTAGATATATGGTTTATTATTTGCAAGTTGGTTGTGCATTGATAATGCATAAACACATCAGTAACTTGATGTTATAAAACTCATTGTTGTGCATGATGATGAGTGAATGGTAAATGCATATAAGTCGAAGTTCATCTGTTCCTTTTATCCTAAGAGGTTAAAATCCGTATACGGGCCCCTTGATGATTTGGTTTGACTTATGTGCTTAGCCCGGTCAGGACTGAATTGATGTTGTTTAATTAAGTTCTATGTCAGATGAATCAGAGATCGAGAAACAAACTACTGGACAATACGTATGACTATGTTCCATGTAATTTTCCGCATGATATCTAGAACGGAGGAATATACAATCCCTTATCTAAAGTCCAGGTTACAGAAGTCGTACTTGCATTTATAGTTACTAGACTTATCCAAGTGAGAGATTGTTGGATTGGTCTCTATGCCCGTAACTATATTTGGTATGTACTAGACCCGGTTGTGTATGGTCCTTTTGGGTTACCTTACCAAAGCAACTTGACAGGATGACATATATAGAGAGAGGGGGTTATTATGGTTTATTAATATATTATAAGAATAACATATTAAAGGAGAAATCATATAGTTTAATTAATATTATTCAAGAATTAATTAAGAATTAATTTTGTTGCAAAAAGAGATTAATTATATAAAGGGGACTGGAACTGTCAATTGTGTGATAGTTGGCTTTGGGCTATGAGTCTTCATGGTTATAAGGGGGACAAAATTATGACTGAAAGCCCACTCTAATTTCGGACAAGGAGGCCTTATTCCAGAATGTTCTCAAGTTGCTTAGGGCCTACGTCATCCAATTAGGGGTTTGACTGAAACCCTAGCAGCTCAACTATTTAAAGGTCCCCAGGGATTCAATTTCAGCTACACCAAGAAACCCTAAGGTTACTATAGCCGAAATTAACTCCCTCTCCTTCTCTCTTTTCGATCATCCTCTTGGTTGTGGTGTTTGTGAGCCGTTAGAGGTGTTACACTTGTGACACTAAGCTTCTTGAAGATCAACGATTCTTGCAATCATTGAAAGGTATTATCTAAACTTGTTATATTCTAGATTTTGATTTTAGTGTATGCTAGTTTAGGGTATTCCAGTCTTGGATGAATTTCATGTACAATACAGAAACCTAGATCCAAGCTTTAGGGTTTTTCATGAGCACATATGATTGTTGTTTTTCTCTTAACCCATCATATGATTGGTATGCGAAAAGTAAATAGCGAGGACAAATGAGATCTTGTGAGGCTGAGCAGTAATGGGGAGCAGTTTAGAATGAGTGTCTAGATGCTTAGTAGTGGTTCCAAGGAACCAGCTGGGAGAGTGTATACCTAATACAGAGAAATAGAGCCCTTATGACTTAGGTTCTTGAGAGGACGACATGAGACAAATATGGGTTTGTTTGGAAGGTAGCATTAGGCCAGTACTACTAAAAGCACTAGATCCATACGTAGATCAAGAAGGAATCTTAAGAAAATAAAGAACTGGTAGGAGTGTGTGGATGTTTTTGTATGCACTTTAGCCTAATTTTGATGGTTTTCTTGTGTGCATCAGTATGGTGGTTACCCGAGGTTCGGGCTCAATCAACCCTAAGAGACCGAGTTCCAGTGACGATGAGATCCATATGATTGTTGCCGCCAAGGTGGCCACAACAATCAGAGGAGTGATACCACAGATCTTTGGGTCTATCAATACGATGCTGATTAAGACTTTTAACGAGCACTATCCCGCCGTCACTAAGGCTGTTGCTGTCGCAACCACCGTAGTTTGTTGCTGTTGCGAGACCTTAGAAGGGTGATTCGTTGAGATACCGGGAGTTCAACAACATGAAGCCACATGAGTTTGATGGGACCCAGGATCCGATTACCGAGATGAGATAGATTTCTAAAGTCTAGGGTTGTTTTTACACTTGCTCATGTAAGGAGAATCTGAGAGTTCGTTTCGCGTTGAACATGCCTCGCTTGGGAGCAAAGGATTGGTAGAAGTTTGTGAAAGATAATTATTCTCTTGCAAAACATTATGCGGTAACCTTGGATATATTTACTGAGATGTTTAGAGACGAGTTTGTACCAGTGGTTAAGAGAGGGAGGTTGGCTCAGGAGTTCACGTCTCTCAAACAGAAGAAAAAGATAGTGATCGAGATCTCCAGGATGTTTTGTGAGAGGGCCTTGTTTTGTCCTAAGCACCTGTCTTCTGAACAAGCACGTGTGAGTCTGTATCTAACTAGGGATTTCCTTGAGTTCATGGTGAATACTTCGTATCAGACATTAGCTGAGTTATAGACCAATGCTAGGAGAAGAGAGATTGAGCTGGAGACCTAGGCTAGAGAGGAGTGGGCGATCATGTTGTATTTGGTATCTAATCCCATAACTATAATTGTTATGTACTCGACCCATCAGTAGCATGGTCTATTTGGGTTGCGTTCACCAGAACAATCTGATAGGATGGATATTTGAAAAAGGTTATTTATGATTTATTAATATGTTACAAGTTTAATATATTAATATGAAATCATGTTATTTAATTAGTATTGATCAAGATTTAATTTGGAATTAATTTTGCGATCAAAAGAGACTAATTAAATTAACGGGGACTAATTATGTAAATCAGCGATATATATTTTATGGGCTATTGATCCATGATGGGATAAGTTTATGTAAGTATCCATAAGAGTTGGCCCACAT